TTTTACGATGTAAATGACAGTAGAAATAAGTCCTACATATGTTGTTGTACTTCGTATTGGTTTAATATTCATGTAGAGTATGAGACATTAAGTGAAAGTTTTCTGAGGTAAATCTGCAATTGTCGGAAGGCAAAAATAAATAAATAAATACATCCCCTGTAGTTCTCTACTGGGTCAACGACAAAATATCGGGGAGAACCCCTCCGTAGTGTCGTGTACTGCAAGATGTAACCTTTACAGGGGACACGGCGCAGTGTCTATTGACAGCTTGCTGGTTTTAGGAATTTATGGAGAAATATATAATATTGATGAAAAAATCATGGAAGATGGAAAGAAGGCTACAGCAGTACATCACTCGTTTTTCAAACCTAGCTATATATTTTTGAATTTCACGGGCATTATATATAATTTCCACGTGTTGTATCCTTCGCCGTACTCCGTAACATGTCCACACCACTGCTCCACACGGAGAGACCAACTGCCACTCGCTGCTACTGCTGACCTTCATGACGGATGCTCTTCAATTGGACTACGACATGGTTGCGACAAGATGTCTCGGCAAACCGCTCTGAGGAACACCAGGGAAGTTGACAACAATGGCCACATTGGATGTATATCACTTGAACACTTTCCGTGCTCTACTGATGATGCTGAATACCAACACGAAACATACCAGGAAACCAGCTAACACGATACAAACTGAACGCTATGCCCTACCTACCATGCACCAGGTGTACCATTCACTTCTACTGTAAGCATCACTGATACGCTACCCCAAAGGGTCAAACAAGATACTTCTAAATTCTAAGAAAATGGCGTGAAACACCTACTGAAAATGATTGAAGTTTGTCCGGGATTGTGTTGTTGCCGGTCGGAATGAACAAGTCTGTTGTTGGGCCACGTTCTACTGTAGTCCCGTTGTGGCCACAGCCAGCGGCGGGAGATGGGCGGAAGCTTGGCGAGCTGATGGCCTGGGGGCGACCTTCGTGTTAAGGATGCATGTGTTGGCTGCGGCTGTCGTTAAAGACGCAGCAACCACGCTCTACAGCTTGCCGCTTGTGAAAACGTTCTGGCTCACCAACATGAACGTGACATGGTGTGGTCTAAATTTAGTCTATGCATACGTTGCATGGACTTCCCGACTGTCAGTCAGGGACACGGATTTCCTTACGCAGCAGCCTGGCGCGTGTTGTGTACATACATGTCGCTGAGAGCCAAGCTTGATACATCCAATAACACCGCGCTGGAGGCCATCAAATAGACCTACAGACGGATTTCCTACGGGCTGAGGGCTCACGAGATCGCAGGAAAGGCAATCCTCATGATCTCGTGAGCCTAGATAGAGCCTTTTTTCGAGGTTTCTCCGCCCGTAAACCTCGCCTAGAAGCGAGACTTGCACCTACCGATAGCGCTGTGTTGCGAGGGCCCTCCCGGCGTACCGCGCGCTCTCGGGGCGGATCGCGCGAGGGCAGAAAGTCGCGTCTCCGGCATCTACCATGGATCCACCAATCACGCCCCGATATCTTGACAGTGCAGGCCATTCATACATTCGGCAAGGGGCTGACGTGGATTATGTGTGCGCGCTGGCTACACACGGTCGCCCCCGGTGGTCTAGTGGGTAGCCTCGCAGCCTGCTAAGGGCCACCCCCCCCCCCCCCCCCCCCCGTCGTGTGCGTGGCACTCCCTTCTCTTTCCCCCCAACCGGGTGTGAGAAATAACAAGCATCTCAACATCAAGCACTATAGTGCTTGCCATTCGGCTACCCCTGTGTGAACCCTGCAGGCAAATAGACCCTGTACGGACGCTGTGACCACCTGTCTAGGTAATCGGTCCCCACAGGGTCCACGGGCAGGAACCCTCTGCCAGGGTGTCGACACAGCCAGGGTTGTACCAGTCATTTCTACGATACATTTAGTCTTGTAAGTTGTGTTTAGCCTCTGGGGTACAGCCCCAGCATTATTATACCGATGGTCCAGCAATCTACTGCTGTACACCGAACACGGCCGTTTTTTTTTTTGAAGATGCACGCGATATATGGTGCTCGCTGCTGGGGGTGGAAAGTGACAGTCCCGTTCACAACTTCCACAGCGTAACAGAGTTCGGCCGTGCTGCTATAGGGCATGGGCCGCGCTTCATCCGTGGGCGGCGGCGGTCGACTATCCGGTCTACTCGGCGGCCGCGGCTCTGGCAGTGCCTCGGGCGGTGCCCCCTCCGGGTGGCCTGGCGCTGGTTCTTCGGATGATGGCGGTTCAACCANTGTCATCGGATCAGAGCGCAGGAAGACACCAGGCTAAATCCAGACGTGTGTCGACTGGCATCAACGGCAACGAGAGTTCAGCGTCTGGTACATCACACAGTGGCGGTGCCAGGTCCGTTGGTCCCACGGGCGGTGGTTCCACTTCGACTGGGGCGAGCACCACGACCTTCCGCACCCTGGGTAAGCGCTCTGTTCAAGAGCGCCACAACAGCGAGGAGTGCCACGAGACGGGCATTGGCCGGGAATCAACCATCAACATGGAGATGTCCGGACAAAACCTCTTCGACACGCTTGACACTGCCCTGGTGCCCAAGGCGGCGAAGGCCGCGCTGTTGGGCCTTTTGCTGCAGCTTATCAGCCCCGACGTGGTGAGTGGTTTCTTTTATCATGAGAAGAAGGGTCGTAAAACGTATTGTCTTTTTCTTGTTTTTTTTTCTTGTTCGAGTGGAAGTGGAGCATGCACGCGCTGGTGGACTGATATTAGAATCACCACCCATTGGTTTTGTTGTTTGTGTATCTGTGGGGAATACTTGGACTTCGGCCGCGAGCCTAGTTGCAGTGGTCTAGGATGAGGTAACTGTTTTATCGTTGCGTAGCCTTGGCATCGGGTTGAGAGCAGGAGGCATGGGCTCTGCGTCTTTAATTCTGAGTGAGGTTATTCCTGTTTTCTCTTCGTTTTTTTTGCCGATTTCAACCCCCGATTTGTCATTTCGCCATTTCATCCCACATTTGATGTTCCTCTTCGCTGATTAATAGGTGTGTACGGCTTCTNTGGTGCCCAAGGCGGCGAAGGCCGCGCTGTTGGGCCTTTTGCTGCAGCTTATCAGCCCCGACGTGGTGAGTGGTTTCTTTTATCATGAGAAGAAGGGTCGTAAAACGTATTGTCTTTTTCTTGTTTTTTTTTCTTGTTCGAGTGGAAGTGGAGCATGCACGCGCTGGTGGACTGATATTAGAATCACCACCCATTGGTTTTGTTGTTTGTGTATCTGTGGGGAATACTTGGACTTCGGCCGCGAGCCTAGTTGCAGTGGTCTAGGATGAGGTAACTGTTTTATCGTTGCGTAGCCTTGGCATCGGGTTGAGAGCAGGAGGCATGGGCTCTGCGTCTTTAATTCTGAGTGAGGTTATTCCTGTTTTCTCTTCGTTTTTTTTGCCGATTTCAACCCCCGATTTGTCATTTCGCCATTTCATCCCACATTTGATGTTCCTCTTCGCTGATTAATAGGTGTGTACGGCTTCTGGGGCTGGTTGCCCTGTACCCACGGGAGGCGTCCGCGTTACTCGCACCGGTCCATATGTTATTTGACGAAACCTTGCCACCCAAACTTCACGCGCAAACACTTCCTGCCTGTACGCGATAACCACATTTTCTATCGTCCATGTTCCTGTGTTTTCTCGCCCATGTACTAAATAGTGTGCGCGTCGCCTTACTACATCAGGAGACATTCGCTTGCTGTCTTTGCTCGAACACAGGCCACCATGCTCGGCGGCGAGTCCTCCAAGAAGACAGTGGGCCCCGGCGAGAATACTGCCGGCGGGGTCGCTGCGAGCNCTTCGTTTTTTTTGCCGATTTCAACCCCCGATTTGTCATTTCGCCATTTCATCCCACNTAGCCTTGGCATCGGGTTGAGAGCAGGAGGCATGGGCTCTGCGTCTTTAATTCTGAGTGAGGTTATTCCTGTTTTCTCTTCGTTTTTTTTGCCGATTTCAACCCCCGATTTGTCATTTCGCCATTTCATCCCACATTTGATGTTCCTCTTCGCTGATTAATAGGTGTGTACGGCTTCTGGGGCTGGTTGCCCTGTACCCACGGGAGGCGTCCGCGTTACTCGCACCGGTCCATATGTTATTTGACGAAACCTTGCCACCCAAACTTCACGCGCAAACACTTCCTGCCTGTACGCGATAACCACATTTTCTATCGTCCATGTTCCTGTGTTTTCTCGCCCATGTACTATATAGTGTGCGCGTCGCCTTACTACATCAGGAGACATTCGCTTGCTGTCTTTGCTCGATCACAGGCCAACATGCTCGGCGGCGAGTCCTCCAAGAAGACAGTGGGCCCCGGCGAGAAGACTGCCCGCGGGGTCGCTGCGAACGTCATGAGTGTTTACGCCTATGGGTTCGTCGGTCCCGCCAGGATGCAATTTTCCGGCGGGGGGCCCACCAGCGCTCTGACAAACCCTTTCCTCGCGTTGGGTTCTCACGCGTGGCCGGGAGCGAGGCAAAATCTGAACACCTTCCCCGGTGATCGTGGTTTCCGTAGTTGTTGTTGTACTACCCTGAGGTTCAGCAATCCTGTCGCTGCATGGTAACGCATTCTGGCGTTTGTTTGCAGACCGTTCAATATTTGTTCTTCACGTGCGCAACTCCACTGTCATAAAACCCTAACCCAGCGGCGAAATCCCGACATTAATACTACAATATTATCTCTATTTACAGAGAAGGTCTTGCTCTCTCGGCCTCTCGCAGAGCCACGTTTCCGTCTGTCCGCGATGTCCTGGAAATTTCCCGCGCTTTATGTGGTCGTGTCATTCCGCCCCTTCGTCTGTATGTACGTGTTGTCGCGCTTCGTCTGCCTTCACTGTTGAACGTTGTGAGGTAGACTCAAATGACCCATGTGCTGTTTCGTCCTCTCTGCATCCACTGCCACAGCCATATTCGTGAAAGCAGTCGTCTCGGCGAGGTCGGAACTACACGCAGAGATCCGCAACGCCATCGCCGAATTCCTCATCCCTCTCATGGAAGAGGAGGCATCCACGAACAACCCGATGACCGGCGCGGACCTCCTCCGTGGCGTCCGCGAGCAGATAATGTACGTCGACCCCGAGTCGGAGGTAAACGACTCAAAAACGAGCCTACCAAAATCTTCTGGTCAGCGCGCAACGCTCTAGGACCGCGACGCTGCACGGCGGCGATCCTTACCATCCCCAGCTCCGACTTCCACAAGCCGGAGATCATGCGCTTCCTCGCCCCCTACTACGTCGAGAAGGACAGCCTCGTTGTGCCGGAGACGCCGGCGGCAGACGTTTACGTCCAGGACGATGATCTTGAAAGCATACCTTAACGACATGTTTTAATGTTTTGCGTGCGAGGGGCGGGGCCATGGCCGTGTTGATGGTATATGGCAGGTGCCCATGGAGAGTGCATCTCGAATAGCATCGGTGCATCCATCTTGTCATGAAACCTCCACTATTTGCGGGAGGTGTTGGCGTGGGCCGGCTGTGATCTACGAATCCGTGTTTCATAAACCTTACCATTGGTGCACGTTAAACGAGAAGTTGACAAGTCATGTTTTTGTGGCCGGGGGATTGGATGGATAATTAAATTAGCGTGATGGGAGTGGTGCACGTGGGTAGCTGTCGTCGCTGCATCGAGATTGGTATGGCTCGAGCCTCGCGTCTTGATATTTCCGTATCTCATGCATGGTCCATCGAAGGAAAAGTCTTCGGGGCAGTTTTTCCCGATGTTGTAGTTTCTCACAAAGTACCTCAATTTTTTTTGGTTTTCAGTTTATTCCATCTCAAGAGAATATTCATCGTGGCAGTGTTTATTGGGTGTAAGTTACTCAGAGTCCTTCGATTTTTTCATTATTTATTCCATCAAGAGAAAATTCATCGCGGTGGTAAGTTACTTAGAGTCCTTCAATTTTTTTTTTTACTTATTCCATCGAGAGAAAATTCATCGTGGCAGTTTTTCTTGGGTGGTAAGTTACTCAAAGAGTCCTTCAATTTCGTTTGCTTTTAATTTTTTTCCATCGAGAGAATATCATCGCGTTGGTTTTTAATTGTTCCATCGAAAGAATAATCCTTCGTCGCAGTTTTATAGATTTTTATCTGTTTATGATGGAATCAGATAATTTGGGGGAGCAGGTTTGGCATTCATTGCCAGCTGGCTATGCTGGGCACATGGAGCGTGATCGTTCGTGTTATGTCGAAGAAGCATTATATATTGCGTGCAGCGTTCGGCCTCTGTACGTGCAATCGGTGACGTCATCATGTACCCTGTAGGGGAGGTAAATATTGGGTGCCTTGAGGTCCCCTCATAGTAGCAGCATCATGCGGTACGTTGTTTGTTGATGGAATTGACGCGCCGGAGTTGTACATGTTACGAAGGGATGGGGAAGCAAGGAAAGGCACGGATCAGGGCGGGGGGCGGGGGGGTGTCAAAAGGCGACATATATGGCGTGGATGAGCTTCCTCCCATCTGCTGGCGGGTCGTCAGCTGCCGGCTTGTGGCCATGTGGCGAACCCACGTGCCAGCAAAAGTCTCAACTCGTGTCAGCGGTTCACCAGTGCCCGTGCGGGCGATCCATGCACGCGTTTTGTGGTCGGGGCATCGGAGAGGAAGGCTACGGACAGCAGAGAGAGTGCTCGGATTGCCAGAAGAGCAAAGGTGGAGACCAGGCTGGCAGCAGCAGCAGTCCCATGGAAGTGGTCAAGAAGATGTCCTTGCCGGAGAGTGCCAAGGACTTGGACGCTAGGTCCATGCCGCGAGTGTTGTCGGACAACTTGTTCGTCGAGAGCACCTCCGGCCTCACTGAACAAGAAGTGCGGAGCGCAGTGAGCACGTGGCTTAGTGTAGAGGACGATGAAGAGGTCTTGAGGGAAGAGGTAGAACTCGAGATGGAAGAGGTAACGGAGAACATGTCAAGAGTACACGTCGAAGACGACGTGTCCAGTGAAGAGGAAGACCAGGACGGTAGGCAAGAGTCGTGCATGACATCTACGATTTCAGAGGCCGAGGTTCGCTCTCGTCTCGAGGATGTCCGCTCCTATTTGTACGCGAACGGAAGAGACGGCGAGTACAGCGAAACGGTGTACCTTCTTTCGAAGACTGTGCATTCGTTCACTCATGAAACTCAAGTCAAGCGAAGAACGAAGGAGGGGGGTGAGGTGCAGGCGACTCTTCGGGATGTGTGGGCGACGTAGTTTTTGGTGTTTGAGGACAACACACTTGGCAGCCCACATTCATTGTTTGGGATTTTTTTGCCTTTCTCGTGGAGTTAAATTTTGGCATTTTTTGTTTTGTGTTTTTGCCTCGTGTTGACCTTTGGGGAAGAGCGGTGTTCTCTTTTCGGTGGGTTTGCCCGATTTTTTGTATGTTGTGGTCTGCGCTACCGACCGTTTCCTAGTGTCCCTCAGATCCCTCTAAGGGGTCGACTGGGTTTGTTTGGTCCCTATGTGGCAGGTAACTTGCGTGTATCGTTTCAGAGCTAGTTCCAACAAACTGGTGTGTCTCAGGTGTGTTCGCGATAATATCACGGGCATGATGTTCACCGTGAGGACAACGCCTTGACAATAAGAAAAGCCTCCAAAAACACCAGCGCACACTGCCGTACACATTAGCATTACAATAGGTCGTGCTGTACTCCTTCCCGCGTTTCGGTGGTGGAGGGAAATTCAAAAATGTGTACAGTATTGGAGTACAGCAGCAGTAGTGTTGCGGCCTTCAATTGACGTGTTGTCGCAGTTTTGAAGCAGCACAATTTCGTGGTCGCATTCCTGCTTCAAATGCGCGTATTTTGACACATGTTACACCTCCATTGACCCCGGGGACGGTGAGTTAGTGGCCCCGGAATCCTAAAGACACTTCCCCGCGTTAAAGACACTCCAAAAAAAAAAAACGCGGTGTCGACTGTATCGAAAGGAAAAATATCCTAATTTTCGGCCTCGTCAGTACCACTTGGCTGACACGGTCTCCACAGGGTTTTCCCCAGGGGTGTGCACCCCGCCAGGGTCCCTGAGTGGCAGGGTACGTACAGGGTGTGGGATCAGTACCCTGGCAGGGTACCCACCCTGCCATTGGGTCAAGCCTGCAGCGTAGTCTTCCAGGGTGACCTGGACAGGGTGAAATCTCCCGACCCTGGCAGGGTGGCCGAATGGCTACAGGTAGTATACAGTCTCTACAAAGACAACAAGGGCATACCAACTTAGGGTTGACGAATACTCTAGTCTAAGCGTGTTTGCGGCCGACGCCAATTATTTATTGCATGAGACTGTTTTGTTGATGCATTAACTTCACGAGAGGAAGACGACCGTCCTTCACACGGACGAAAGAGGGAGTGCTCATCTGTCACATGAGCGGCTCCAACAGCAAGGAGGGGCCCCGTGAATCATCGCGGCGGCCCCTACTAATCGGCAATTTTGCCAGTCTGCGTGACACCAAATCATCCAGCAAAAAAAAAAAAACATGTAACGGCACCAACCGGTCGCCTCATGGTCTAGTGGATAGCATCGCAGCCTGCAAATGGCCAGGTCATGGGTTCGAGTCCGGACAGAGTAAGCTTTTTCTCACTAATTCAATCCTGATCTCCGTTGGGAGCGACGCGCTGCAAAGCTCGTTGTTAGTAAACTTGATCGACTTCAGAAGTCGCGAGGGAAGGAATTGTTGTACCCTTCTCGCGATCAAAATACTCCAGGCAGGAACCGCAGGAGGGGGTCCAACCCCCCCTCCTCCTATGCATATGTGACCCCGGTTGGGTCGTCTAGTTGGTAGAAGTGGAGGATAGGGGCCAGAGGGGCAGACGACAGAGTCCAATGATGGGAGAAACAAAAAAAAAAGGTATTCACCAATGTTCGCAGACCCACGAGCAAGCAGTAGACTACAGCAGTCTGGGACAGACGTGGCGAGCCAGATTAATTTTACTCCTACCACCGCCGCCACTCGCCCCGCTAATGTCCTGCCGTACTGTTTTGCTGCTGTACATGCCTTCCTTGTACCTCGTAAATACCCCGACCATCGACTCTAATTGCTGTTCTCCGTGCGGCCCGCCGACAAGCGGCGCATTTTCAGCTGGGTGGGGCGTTCTTTGAAAAAAATACTACTTGTACAAACTGAAGTTACTCCGTGGCTTGATGATGACTGGATGACTTGCTGCTGAGAGATTCCCGTTTAGAATCGAACAGTTTTCGGCTCCGCCGGGACAGACAGAGACAGAGGGTCAACGCCGTTGTACTGGTATACTTTATTACACAGCTTGCCGAATAAACACACCGGGAGAGAGAACGAGCACCGAATCATGATTCAGGCATAGGGAGGGAGCGGACAGACACACACGTTGTCAGGGCGATTGAGGATTGCTGGATGCAAGATGCCTTACCACAACCACCGACATCAAGTCATCTACAATGTCGGCGGCGGTGCCCCAGGGGGTGGTCCAGGGTGTTGTGGGGTGCCTCCAGAGGCTCCACGTGCCGTGACGGCGGTGAGAGAAGCACGTACAATCATCAGTAGCAGCTACTACTGCTGCCTCTCTCTCTCTCTCTCTCTCTCTCTCTCTCTCTCTCTCCCTCTCTGTGTCTGTCTGCCTCTCGCTCTCTCTCTCTCCCTCTCTCTCTCGCTCTCGTTTCCTCTCCCCCTTCTACATCGCACAGAGTTGCAATCTTGAGATGCCATAATACTGTAACAGAACAACAATGAATGCATGTCCGACACAGCAGCAGCGCGGGCCCACTCAGAGACTAGTTGTTGTTGTTGTTGTTGTTTCTCACATTGTAGCTCTACCGTCCACAAAAAATGGGGAGCCCGTGGTCGCAAAACCCGGCACATGCGACGTCGCGGGGAAACAAAACAAAAATAGGTTACAAATCACTCGGGAAAAGGAAAGCTTACGAACGCTTGTAGGATACCATGAGGATTGCCATTGGTTTTACTTCAAATTGAAGAAGAGGAGATATTTTTACGATGTAAGTGACAGTAGAAATAAGTCCTACATATGTTGTTGTACTTCGTATTGGTTTAATATTCATGTAGAGTATAAGACACTAAGTGAAAGTTTTCTGAGGTACATCTGCAATTGTCGGTAGGCAAAAAAAAAAATGATACTACAGCAGCAAAAAGGAAATAACAGGTACCGCACCGACCGTGGCGAGAAAAGAGCGCTCGGAAACCTATCAAAATATAACATTGGACTCTGTCTTCTGCCCCTCTGGCCCCTATCCTCCACTTCTACAGCGAGACGACCCAACCGGGGTCACATAGATAGGAGGGGGGGGTTGGACCCCCTCCTGCGGTTCCTGCCTGAAATATTTTTATCGCGAGAAGGGTACAGCAATCCCTTCCCTCTCGACTTGAGAAGTCGATCAAGTTTACTAGCAACGAGCTTTGCAGCGCATCGCTTCCAACGGAAATCAGGATTTGCTTAGCGAGAAAAAACTCACTCTGTCGGGACTGGAACCCATTACCTGGCCCTTAGCAGGCTGCGAGGCTACCCACTAGACCACNTCGACTTGAGAAGTCGATCAAGTTTACTAGCAACGAGCTTTGCAGCGCATCGCTTCCAACGGAAATCAGGATTTGCTTAGCGAGAAAAAACTCACTCTGTCGGGACTGGAACCCATTACCTGGCCCTTAGCAGGCTGCGAGGCTACCCACTAGACCACCGGGGCGACCGGTGTAGTGTACATTCAGGAATCACCTGTTGAGAGCAGGAGTCGACCGCCGCTCCTGTACGAAGCTAAATCTATGGTATGCATTCCGCTCTACAGCATGCATATATACATACGCGTACATTCACGAACAATGGTTGACGAAGGCCTTCCTTCTTAGGTCTATTTTTTTTGGCATACGTACAAAGATACTTGTAGTCTACTTCAAGTTGTTTCTCCGTCTTTTGTCTGCCACGCTGGCCTTGATGATATGAGACGTCTTCACGGATGCATGTCTCAGACCGGAAGACATGCATACACATGTGCGCATGTAGTACACGCACGCCATGTCGCAATGTTGCTCTGAAAACAATAATGAGAACGAGGAGTTTAAAGCAAGGAGGATGGTGGTGAAAGCACTCCAAAACGAACTCGAGTGCAAGGTAGCAGCCTTCGTATGCATAGACGTATGCAGTTTCTTCTTTTTCTACCGTTTCTGCCGTTGATCCGGAGAAAACCGTAGGTTGCACAAGATATCAAACCCCCTGGGCCGATTTTGGGGTAGACAAGCTGCACGGTTCGGTTTACAGACAAGTGCAGCAGCAGCAGCAGCGACCCAAGATCGCGTCCTCTGGGAGCGGTCATTTTGTAGAGCGCAAATCTACGAGCAGGCGGTGGTCTTCGTCTGTTTGAGGCATGGCCTAGTCTAGAGATGGCGCCGGGTGCGATCGGATCTGTAACACTTCGTCCTTGCTCTTTTTTATTTGTTGGGCCCCCTGTGCCATCTCTCCCACGCCGGCGCGGAAGTTGAATTACAGAAGTATGAGATTATTTCTTTAGCTTTTGCAAGGCGCCCCGGTGCGATCTCTCCGACCGTGGCGATGCCCAAATAAATAGTCTACACCTAAACAAGGTACTGTATGCACACACCCGGTGCGATAGTCTACTGAATATGATTGGGTGCCAGTGTACAAGCAAAATTACGGTACATGAAGAAATAGGAAGCACCCACCACACAGATCTCTCCACGTGCACATACATGTCGAACCGGGAACATGCGACCATAACAAACGATGGACTGGACGATGATTTGTCCACCTGTGGTACATGCGGTATCAATTTTATGTCGATGCTCATTTTGACTGATGTGCTCCCCTCGGTTGTATTGGTCCTTCTTCTGCAAATACCAATGCATGGCAGTACAGGATGAGTCCCTTCTTTGAGGTGATTAGTTGTTGTGTGCTTGGTTGACTGTGTACGGTACGGTATGCAACTTCCATACCGGTTGAACGTAAACCATTGATCGTTCTCCCGCGTGAACCGCGACCGTAGATGTGTGTGCGTGTTTTCGTCCTAGTTATTTTGGCGACAGTCCCCCCATTTTCGTGGTGAGACGTGAAGTACACTACACTTTTCGGTGTATTGAGCACTACACTCTTTAGTGTAGATTGCCGTAGAATCACAACCATCCAGGGTCACAGAGAAAGGGGTGAACACCCGGACTTTTTTCTTCGCTTTCTATTTCTTTCTTGCCCCACCTTCGTCCTGCGGTGCGTGCTAAATTTTATTTTTTTATCGCGAGAGGGGTCCAGCCGTCCCTTTCCCTCGTCAACCGTGCTATCGTAGGAGCAGGGTACTCACACTGAGCTTTTCAGCTGTTTCTCGCTTTCACCAGCAAACTTGTAATTTTTCAGTCCATGAGGATTCGTATTACGACTTTGCGACTAGCGGTTTCGAGATTCTCACTAGACCACCGGGGCGACCGGGTTTCATACCGAGAGGATTGATGCCCCGACAATACCCTCACCACATGCAAAAGGTGCCCACAGGTACCTCTTGAAACAAGTTCCAACATGTGGCCCGGGGACGCCGGCTGAGTCTTCAATCTCGGACTTGGGGTCGGTGAGATCGCACCCCGGTGCGATCTCTCTGCCTCTCGCGGCGTTATTTTTCACTTCTTCGGATTCCCGTATGCCCTTATGTCAGCTGTGTCACGTTTGGAAATCTGTCGTCATTTTGACAGTAGTGTTCAATAATCCTATTCAGCTGAACGCTCAGGCGTTACAGTACTGTTATTCTCCGGGGCTGGTGGCGTTAGGGTTAGGGTTAGGGTTGGATTCCTGGCACCCTTCGACGCGTGGCTGCCCACGTTGAATCCGACCGGTTGTTCAGGTTAATATGTCGATCGTTCCGCCGTGCTATGTGCCTGTGCAAGTTTATGTGGACCACGACCCGGAACATCAAGTAAACCCCTGTGTGCGCGTTTGGCCAATCTGCGATAATGGACAACGACATCGTTACAACACGGCAAGCTATCGCCGAGGGCAACGGTGCCCCTTCTCCCCCCCGGCTTTCTCGACTGGACATTCTGACGCAGAACGACAGAGAACCGAGCTTCGATTCTGTTTCAATGGTCTTTCTTTGGGCAGCTCTCACGAAGGTTGTTCCAAGAAGTGGCCCTATTCGGCCGCTGGCAGCTGCGTGACCCCTCCGCTCTCGATGTATCGGGCGGCTTAAGGACGGGCTACAGCCTTCCTACGTAGGGATGACACCGACCTATTTTTAGGGCTTCCACCACTGGCATATTTTTCACTTTTCACCACCCCACGTTGATGGGCGGTGGGTGCTTATGGTCAGAAGCGAACATGCAAGTTTGGCTCAAGACCTTGACTGTAAACGAGCGGAGAAGGCGCGCTGGCCTCGTACAGCAGAAGTGGGGCCGCCCTCCTTCCAACGCCTATTAAGGACGATGACACACGAAACTATCTAGATCTCCACAGGTCCGTATGTAGTGCCGAGTTCACCTGACACACGTAGTAGATGCTATATAGGCTTCTACAGTTGTTGGGCATCGGCAAGAGGGGAGGCAGGTTTGCGCAAGAGAACGACGACGTAGATGGCGCGAACAAGAATACCCACCTAACCCCAACCATCGCCATGATAACACCTGTATGCTGACGCCACCCCCCGCGATTGCTGCCTTCCGCAGGCAAGGGGATGCGCTATTTTATCGATTGTTATCCACGCGATCAGCTTCTACTTGGGCGGAGGGTTTTTTGTGTGGCAGCGGAATGCCTGTTTTATCGCCTTTGTGATGGGCGGACTTCTCCTGTGCTTCTACGAACGTTATATGTACGTCATCGGCAGCTTGGGGTTCGCTCTATGCGCCGTGTTCGACGTCTTGGCCGTTTTGCGATGGTGAGCCCCAGGAAAAAATGCACAGGTTCCAAGAGATGCAGAACTTGAGCTTCTGTAGCAATGGTCAGGCATACATTGATGTCTGCTGTTGTCCAGCGACGCATCTCCCTCAAACCATCGGCGCTCGCTGCCGCGGGTGGATTGGCTGCGCTACGAACAACTCCGCCGTCCTTTTCGCAATCGCACCATGAACAGCCCAACGGATGGTGTCAGGCCGGCTTTAATGTCCCTCACGTAGGCCAGTCTTACCAATCCACAGGCTGTATATTGGATTTTCAGAGCTGATTGGCGTTGCCCTTAGTTTGGGACGATCTTCATTGCTGTTGTTAGACAGAAAATATCATTGGTTGAGGTTTAGGGCTCCAAAGTTACTGGTTCCGCGTTTCTTTGCTGTCCATGAGACTTTCTGAGCTCGGCCATCAGGCTGGAAACGAATCCACCCTTTTTTTTTGTTCACGTCGTCTGGAGTTGGACATTTGTTCCACGCGTCCACGTAGCGCCGAAGACAGGAGGCAAGCGTTGCAACCCGCGGTCGGCTGAGCCTTCCTCGTTTTCGTCCAAGCCAACGCTACAACGCACCTCTGCTATGTCAGGATCACGCGCGACGATGAAATTTTCGATAGTGACGACGACTACAACACTACCTTCCAAGTCGACGACACTCAATCGGAAGAATCGAGCGACAGCACTATTCTCCTCTGGTTGGCCGTGCCCCCTTTTCTCGGAGCCATCGCGATGGGCCTGGGTGCCATTTTCACCTTCACGGCGATCTTCGCCTGGAAGTATGGTGGAGGCACCGCCATTCCCCACGTGAGTGCTGAAGTATTTTCGGCACCGCTTCGCCGACGCAATAGTTTATTTCATCGCAATACCGCCACCCCGGCTGGTCCGGTGAGGACCCGGCGTGCTCCGTCCCGGCTTGCAGGGATGCGGTCAATGGTCTAACGACTACGGCATGCACGACCATGAGTACACCCCCCGCCCCCCCCGGCTTCGTCCGAAATGTCATCACGACAGAGCGTTGGCAAGTGAACATCCCCTCACGAAGCACCGGCAGATGTACGTGGATGGAGAGCTTCAGAGTTTGTTCTTACCATTTTGTCTACTCGGTCCTACTCGACAACCCTATACTTCGACTTTCCCCTGTCAGAGAGAGAATGCCAAGATCCGGTACTGTACGAACGCTACGCCGAACCTGGTATCACCTGTCTTGCTTAGCTTATCATTTCGTTGTGTTTGCGGTGGGAATTCTTTTTGGGTGAAACTTCCCCCGCCTGTTGTCCATGCACCATTTGCTGTCCTCGAGGTAGCAGGGGTGTTTGCGAAATCCAAAGATGCCGGCGGATACCTTGTCTCCAGGTACATCGCCCCATCCAGAGTTGCTTAAGTTCCTTGTTTACTTTGCAAATAGGGTGGCGAAGATTGTCAATTCCAAAGATATTTCTCAACGGGTTTTGACATATGACATAATTCTCCAGGAAAAATAGTTTCGATGTCTTCGTAGCCGAATTTGATGAAAGCATGGTCACACTGTTTCTGTGTCCGTTTACATGTGCTGTCCAGCGGTTCGACATTATCATCTAATAGAGCTTGTCAAACAATAACTCTCGTCTCAAGATGTTGGTGTTGTTCCTGTACAAAAACGATTGAAGAGGTGATCGACATTAGTTTGAGAAGGTACTGCTGCTCGACAGGTCCCACAAGCCCTGTTGTCGTTCTTAGGAAGGGCCCCATTTGTGGTCGTGCTGCATCCTTTCCGAATCAGGTCCCGGTCGCACCTCAACCCACCTTCGACTTCACCAAACAGCCTCAGAGCCAGCAGGAGAGCAAGACCGCGGAACTCGGACTTGCACCGCCCACTGCGCACCCACGGACGCCACCCCCCGCTTACCACCCACAGTCGCCACCCCCGGCATACCGACGATAATTTGCCGTCTTCAGCAAACGTGGCGGTCGGTAGTTGCGACCGGAACAAAATCGTGACAGATACAAAACAATCCTGATGGCAAGGTCACCGGCGAAGAGGCGCCCATGATATCGTCCTTTGGCAACGGAACACTCCTGCCGGGGGTGCTGTAAGACTACGTATCGGGCAGGGTGCTGGTGGATGTAGATGGATCGCCCATTTTGCAGTGTGTCGCATGGTTGGTTCTTGCCTTCAATCATGTAGCATGTGGTCGTGGGTAGGTGTATTTACTGTAGTCCATTGTAGGAGACGGAGGCAGTGACGGAATCGGGATGTGAAATGTATCGGTGATTGTCGCGACAGACACCCACCAATAGGGCCAACCTATCGTGATCGAGTCGCGGTGGCGGTTGACTCTGATGGAGAAGCCGCAGCCGGCCACATTACTGTGCGGTCTAAATCGAACGGTAGCCATGCCACGATCAGCACGAGTGCGTCAGAGGGACAACGACCGGCGTTGGCACCTGTCTCAGACGGGCGTTTTGTGGTAGTCGCTGTTCGACCAACTCCTGCACTGGTACATGCAATGCGGTGCCTTCTCGCGAAAACTTTGCTTTGCATTTGTCTTTGAAAGCAATTCACGGAATGAAGAAGGGAAGATGAGGCATCTGGACAACTGTGGACGGAGGATGGGCAGCACGATGTAGGATGGGACGGGTAGAGTTTACAGTATTTCGGAAATATTGCGGGACATACGTTGTTTGGCGTTTGCAAAGGCGGTTTACTGCAAATGAGAGTGAGCATTTGTTTTTCTGTATTATTTTGTTGCTATTGGTGTTGAGGCTCCTGATCTACGAACTGGTACCGATGATTCACATGCTTGTGTATTGCTGGTTTGCTGTCACGTAGCCCAGGGGGTAAAATACCGAGGTACGCTTCGATGAGGTATGGATGGTCATCCTCACAACATGTCATTCGAAACCACGGTGCTTGTTCCTCCTTGTCGTCTGGTGTTGTCTTGTATTGTGCGTTCCTTTGGGGAAAACGACGGTATTCCGAACTGCCCCGCAAAGAGGGCAGGGTGGCAGCAAGGTCAATTTTCTTGTTTTTGTTATTTTCGGTCTTCCCCTTTGAGTCAATCATGGGCAATGGAGTACACCCACCGCCCCGGTTTGCTTTCGGTTTGCTTACAGTAGTTGCACTCATGCGCGTCACGAACAACGAACAAGTTACCGAGGTGCAGACAGAGGAGAAACGATATATTTTTTCGTGTGTCAAGATACGGACTGGTTAGATCAAACGGCAACAGCGGAGGGCACGCGGTCAGGAGCGTAGTTGTATACCTGCAGGTTACTTGCAGCGGGTGTAGCCCCCCCCTGCTTTTTGAAATTCCACATCGAGGGCCCTCTTCTCTCCGCTCCCTTGCGTGTCTAATACAAGAGGTAAAACGAGTCTTCCCCTTGCAAGTAACGGACAATAGAAAAATTAGGGTTAAAAAAACAATATAGAAAAATTAGTTTCATGTGAAGCGGATGTCATCACAAGCTCAGCAATGAAGAAGCAACCTCGGTAGTCTATCCGTTTTGAATCTCCGGCCTAACTGGCGGCGAAACACTGCCTTCACCCAACTGCTGAAAATCGCGCAGCAACGGCCAACGCCGAATCTACTGTGAATGTCATGGACAAATGGAGTGAAACTGGCTAGGTCCGTTTCCTCGGGGCCCTCACGTTCAACCGATCGGTGCCAGTTTGTACTAGATTGTCACGTTGTTTGTGTTCCGGTACTTTCGACCCTTCTACAGTGTCGTTTTGCTGAAACCAGAGCGTTTTCTTTCAGATTCATATTGACTCCCTCGAAGAAGCCACTTAGACGCCAAGACAAAACAGATCTATGGTATCGACGCCCTGTTTTCATTTTTCTTGTAATGGAAGCCAACCAGGGATATGTTTGTGGTGGGTAGAGACTTGGTTTCACACCGGGAGCTGGCACAGAAACCCCTGGATATGAATGTCATGGAATAATTGGCGATTTGAGAAAATACAGTTGTCACGTGTTTTCAAAAAGTGAAACAGGCCTGTAGCCACGATGCCTCGCATGTGTTTGCACGTCTGATGCGATTCAAGGAGGTCGACATGTATGTTGAGTGGGACTTGGCTTCGCACCGGGATTTGGGACACACAAACCCTGGTATCCAGACATGTACTAATGTCACGATCAGCAAAAACAGGAGTGAAATTCGTTGCGTAGGCTAATATGATAGTAAAACTGATAAAGCCAGGCGAACCTGGTATATATCTTTCGAATGGTTCGAAAAGTGAATCAGAGCTATGGTACCGATGCTCCGGGTGTGTTTTGGCTTCCGATGCAATTCAACGAGGGCGACATGTGTGTGAAATGGGACTCGGTTTCACACGAGGTCTGGGACAGTGTGCAGACAAAATATGAACGGCCACGATCAGCATATGAAGGAGAGAGAGAAAAGGTGCCCGCAGTGTTCTGATTGGCCAATTCTTTTGAAAGGAAATCTCCTGTGTGCAGAAAATTCCATGGTGGACCGATGACATCAGCCACGGTCATGACGTCACCTCTTGAAAAAATCGAAAAATTTCCAATTCGCCGTGGATGATGATGACGCCAGACTTTCACGGGAATCGCTGACCACAGGGACGGATACAGCCAGTCATTCGTTCCCTGGACGAACGCATTTACTCCTGGCTGTTACGATCCACCCTAGGCTGGGTGGTGTTGAACCCACCATCGCCGCCCCTCTTCCTGTGATTTTTTTTGTCGCACCCACACGACGACGGACGGTCTTTAGAAAAAAAAAGAGAGGCACACAGCAGCTCGCTGCTGCCAGCAGCAGCAGCTAATATTACTTCCATCCACCTACACTCACTACGTACGCGTGCACATTCCTAGAACCGTGTACCTTTGCTATACCTATACTTCCTGTGTCACATAAATAAAGTCCGTTGTGGGAGAATTTACATACCTCACCAGCCAAGGTGTTCCTGAAGCTCTTGTTAGGTTTGTTGGAAAGCGCTTGTTACGCACATAACCAAATAAAAAAAAATAATCCGACTCACAATTACTGAGAATTAGTCTGTCAAATACGGGACTATTTTGCGAATATTTTGGGAATATTTTGAAAACATTTTGAGAACATTTTAAAGAATATTTGCAGCTTTGTGCTGTGTGAGCACCCACTACCACCACAACGACGTAGCTATCATGGGAGACGACGCCCAGACACCCCCACGTCGTAAGCGGGGTGCGGAAGTATCGTTGGGTCGTCGGTTCGCCATGGCGGTGGAGATAATTCTTGTCTTTTTTGGAATGTTTCGTTTCGTGCCCCCACCCCCACCCTCATGGAAAGGGGCAAAATACGGCCTTTTTTAGCCTGACTACTTTTTTGTAAGCCGCTAGTGCATGCAGGGTAGTGCGCAAGAAAAAAAAAGAAATATGGGTTTCAACTCGAAAAACGCTCAAGATTTCAAAAAAAGTATCGCCTANTTTTGTAAGCCGCTAGTGCATGCAGGGTAGTGCGCAAGAAAAAAAAAGAAATATGGGTTTCAACTCGAAAAACGCTCAAGATTTCAAAAAAAGTATCGCCTACGACATCGGACACGGCTAACTGGTCGTGTAATCATAACGGACTTTACTTATGTGACTGAGGAAGTACATGGTACGACTTTTACTTATTAGTAGCATGTGTGTACAGCAGTACATCTTGTCGATCATGCTTGGACCGGTACGCTTCATTCGACATCTCGACGCATGGAACAATGGCTTCTGCATCCAATCCATCCGTACTATTTGTACTCCGAGTACAACAGCTGTTACGGTTCGGGATATTATTCATTGTTCCGCAAGTACACCCCCACAGAGGTATTGACCGCATTTTGCGGAGCCTCTGCGAGAGCTGTTTGGGGTCGCACTCCCCACTGTCCCCCTCGACTTCTCAAGCTACCATCTTGAGCTTGCACTAAAAGAAGAAGACCACAACACCCACAAGGAGACCTTTGCTTCGACACAGCACCTGCTACAACAGCCGGTACGAGGACATTCACTACTCATTGCATTCGTGCAGTCGTTCGACTGCACAAAGAGAGGTCGTGTGTGTACATAGCTGTTGAGAGGGCTAGAATCCCTCTCGTGAGTAGTAATCCCCATTTACGCACCAAAACGCGGTGCAATGAACGGGAGCTGTAGGTGCTTGATGATTTCAAACAATAGACCTTCACCGATAGTCTATAGGCGAACGACTCGTTTCACAGCAGCAGCACTACTCACGCTCTCTGCCTGACCATCGCATCCATCGACCGATCGATTTGAACCGGCCAGACGATGTGTCCTGCCTGCCCCAAGAACACAGCTGATACGGAGGAGGTTCTATCAAGCGGAAGACAACCTACTTGCTGTACCTGACTCCGCATTCGTTTATGAATGCTGTTAGGATAATCCCAACTGGGGGTAGCTTGTCGCAAGACGTGTGGTGAACAGGGTGTCGGCAACTCGGTGAACTCGCGCCAAGGAGGAAAGACGTGTAGGGTTGGTTGCATGAACGTCTTCTTCACATGAACTCACATGAAGTCACATGAACTTACATGAACTTGAATGAACTTACATGAACTTACATGAACTGAACGCATGCGTGCACGCACCACCATGAGGGGGCGACGCAGTATGCAACAGGGGTACCTTGCACACCCTGGAAATACATTCCACGTACCACACAATCCTACAACCACTTGGCATTGCTACAAGTATATCTATCAGCCCGCCTGCTAGTGACCATGCCATGTCTTTTTCGATCCTAAATAACTCCAAAACACAAGAAAATATAAATAAAATCAGAAACTCAATTCAACTCCAGAACAATAGCCTCACTGGCTAGACATCAATCACCATCCCCGATCATACCAGTTATTCTTCTTCGAACTTCAGTGAACTAGTTGCCCCCCAGCCTAGAACATCATCCATTGAGAAAAACCATAGGCAAAAATGTAAAATGTTGCCACCCCAGTTGTTTGATCAAACACAAAATATATCCAAACGCCAATATATTTATCCATACTCATCACGTACGAAACTCAAAATCTCCCGCGTGAAGTGCTTTCGTGAGAAAGTCAGCATGTTGATACGCCGATTCCACGTGAAAAATCGATATCTCCTTCCTGCCTGCCAGTTCCCTGATATAGTGGTGCCTTACGTCGATGTGCTTCGAGTTACTGTTGCTTATCGGGTTTTGCGCCAACTGAATAGCCCCCTGGTTGTCCTCGAACACCGGAATACACGGTATACCTGCTTCTGGTAACATGAAACGCCACACCTGCCTCAGAAACAACACTTCCTTCATCACATCCGCAAGAGAGCCATACTCCGCCGCTGTCGTGCTCAACGTGACGCACTTCTTGGTCCTTGAAAACCAAGAAATATATCCCCCCCCCCACACATCACCAATCCCCCTGACACATACCTCCTATCGGCAGCCTTACTTGCATAGTCTGCGTCTG